AAAAAACAAACCTCTAAAGCTAATCATAATAATTGAAGCTTGAATGCTTGATGTTGTAGTAAGTGATTATTTGCTTATATTTTTGTGGTTGTACTACATATTTTGTATTAAATATTTTATATTATAAACTAAACAAGTTATCATGTCATTCATTTATTATTGTTTGTCATTTTTAATATGATATTACATTAATATATATACACTATATAAAAAAATATATTGTCGTGTCCGCGCCATACTCGTGTCCTATATTTTCAAAAAAAAGTCGTGTCCCGTGTCTGTGTCGAGTCGTGTTCGTGTCGCCGTGTCCGTGTCCGTGCATCATAGGTATTAGCCTATGACAGTTGCAGGCGTTGACTTCAAAGAGTAGTTATCAACATCGGTTGATGGGTGAAGATAGATGTCGGTGTTGGTTGACAACAAATTTCAGAGGATGGGCGATGATTATTATTGGCATCATAGAACAAGCAATGATGGTTGTTAACATTAGCCAAAATTGGGCATCAGAGGATGAGATGACGGTTGCCACTATCAATCAACGATGGGAGATGGCGTAAGAGTGACAATGGTTATTGGGAATTCTCTACATCAATTGTCCTTGTAAAATGTGTAGTAATATGACCTATTTAACAATTTTTAGATGATGTATTCAAATCTTTTCTATCAAAAAAATTTGACACTCCATTAGACGATCCAAAAAGATCCTCCCTTAATCTATTTATTTATTTATTTTTGACAATTTAGTTCCTTAATGAATTCAAAATTGAGCGATCATGAGCTTCTCGAATTGATCTCTTCAAGATGGTCATTTTGCCAACAAGCACGCAAAATTTACACGGTCATAATAAAAAAAATAACTCACTTTGAACTTAGAAGTTTAAAATCTTTCTACATCTAAAATAAAACATTAGCAACTATACCAAGTGAGAAACAAAAAATTGTTCACCAAATAAGATTGACATGAAAGCCTCATGTATGTGTAAAAGCAATAATAAGCTTTTCTTTGATATCATTCATCAAAGGCTGTGAATATCTGTCTTTCTCTTTTCTTTTGATTTTGAATATATAGGGTTCTTTATGTTAGACATATATGATCTAGATTTATTTTAGTTTAAAAAATCTCATATTTTGCGGTCATGCCACTTATGCAAGATTTTTTTCAGGACTTGAACAATATCAACGTTTGCTAAATTTAGATTAAAATGACAAATCTTACATGAGTTAAACCTTGCTGCCAAATAGTCCCTAAATCTTTTGAGCATATGTAGAAATAAATAAAGCAGCCAACAATTCTTTAGATGTAGGATTGGAATGAAATCCTTCTGTGAAACTGACTTCTATGATAACTTGCATCAATGTGTGTATAACTGATTAGTTTATGGCCACTCTTCAATGAAATCTTGCATCAATGGTTGTGTATGAGTAACTTCTTAAATTCTTTTGATTGTGAATTCATAGGGTTCCTTAATGTTAAAATTATCTCATTACATTTATTCACGAATTAAATATCTCATCTTTTAATAACATTTCTCTTATGAGTTTCCAAGAAAATCAAAGTATCATTATTAACATATAATCAGAGAATAACCAGCATAAAGTAAATCTTTCTGCATCTAAAATGAAACATTAAGGCTTTGTTTGGGATGGCTTTCTTACCGCTTCTTAAAGCAGCTTTCAAGTACAAAAATTTAAATTTTTGTACTAAAAAGCTGATTTAAGAAGCAGTAAGAAAACCGTCCCAAACGAAGCATAAATCTTTCAAGCAGCAGTTGCTAGTAAGTATGCAATCAATAGTTGGTCACATGATAGGATTGAAATGAACTCCATCAGTATAAGAGTGTGAAAAGCACTACTAGGTTGTCTACCTTATAGCTTCTTCTCTAGGATATCATATAACAATGGTTTTTAATAACTGTCTTCTTCAATTATTTTAACTTTGATTTATTAGTATTCCTTATGTTAAACTTGACAGAGCTTATTTGATTATACCTTATAGAATGCAATTCTTATTTGTTTTTAATCAATTGAAGCCAAAAAGATCAATACTAATTAAAAAGGGAGCATGAGGAATACCTTTTGATACTCAATGATCGAATTGGCGATCTTCTGTGCTGAATCCAACTTCCTTTTCAACTCCAAATTCTCCTGAACAAGACAAGATATCCTCCTCCCCAAGCATCCATTTTCCTCTTCCAACTCCTTCAATCTCGTCATCTTCCTCTCCATCTCCAAAGCATCTCTCCCATGCTTCTGCTCCCTGTCCTGAAACAGACCAATCATCTGATGATGAACAGAAATATTTTCCCTTGTCTGCTCCCCATCCAACTTAATCCTTCTCTTCAAAACCTTATTCTTCACGTCAGCATCCTCAAGCTCACTCCTCACTCTCGAATGAACCAAAACTTGGGCTTTTAGCCTCTGGTTTTCCGACTGCAAAGATTCAATCTTTAGCCCGAACAACTTCGCTTCCAAGTTAATAATCTTCAACTGGCTCTCCAGGTCCCTCAAGGCAGCCTCCCGCCCTTGCATCCCGTAACACTCGACGAGCTGGAGCTGGAGATTCCTCTCCCTCTCACGGAGTGCGAAAACCAAGTTCTTAAGCTGGGAAATATCTTGCTCCATTGATGTATTATCTTCTTTTGTGTCGGTTCTTCTTGGTGTGGGAGTTGAAGCATTGCTCTCTGCGTCCTTGACTGTTAGCTCGAAGTCCTTGAGAACAAGCTCGTTAAATTCGGGAAGAAGGAAGTCGTCGTCGTCACTGGTGCTCCGGCTGGAGGGTGAGACGCCGACCATTGTCTTTGTGGTGCTGGTGGTCGTTGCGGTGGCACTAATGAGCTCAGATAAGCCTTCTTCCTGAAACCCTGGTGCATAAGAATCGAAGAAATTGGGCAAAACTTGGAAAGTAAATAAGAATCCGTGGAGAAATAGAAGATCATACCCAGGACAACGCGGAGTTCATCCTCAAGTTCGACATTGGGGGTAGGTTTGCCGCTGGATTCGGGCTCGAGAGCTGAAATTATGAAGTAAAAGAACATGTTAGCCGGGGAAATTATTCTTTGCAGAGTCCGGACGGGACTGTGTATACACTAGGCTTCGTTTTGTTAATCATTATTTGAAAAAAAAGTAAGTATGATTCCAAAAATACTATCAGATTATAGACCTCTGAGTTATAGAGTTAATCACAATTGAACAAAGAAGAACATTTTCTAGGATTTACCACAGTATACATAATTTAGATGTTATACATATTGAGAAGAATTTTTTCAATAATATAATCAATATTGTAATGGATATCAAAGGCAAAATAAAGGATAATTTAAAGAAAATAATGAACCTAAAAGATTAATTTAAGAAAAGATATTTGAAGCTCTAATATAGAGAAAATGGTAACATGTTAAAGCCGGAGGCCTCATACTATCTCACATTAGATTTAAGGGATGTGTGTGAATGAGACCAATCATTGAACATGCTAGATGGATACACCTCAAATTCACATAGATGTGTTGATATGAGATTAGAAAAATCAATTGGAATGAAGAGTTATGATAATATTTTTACGATGTGTTTAATGCCTATAACAATTATCTTTTTAAACTTATTCAACATTAAATCCATTAATTCTACTTAGCATTTTCTTTAAAGATTTGGCTCTACATGAATGAAGAAGCATAACTAAGAAGTGAGCAGAACAATCCAAAAATTTCATATAAATTGGAGAAAATATTTTTTTTATATTTCTTTAACTTGATGGATCATTTACTCGTGCATTGACCTTATGAGCCAAGAGGCGAGAGTTTGTGGTCACATTCAATATCGTTGGATGTATTCATTTGAGAGAGAGATATATAATTTATCTACCAATTTTTATTAAAGTTTTCAATATTAACATAGTACGGAGATGCATCATATACTATATATATTTAAACAAGATTAAAATATTATCAAAGAATAAAACCCATCCATAAGGCTTAATACATATAGCACATTTATCTCAATAGACATCTCAATTGTGTTCTTACTACTTTGAACCATATTTAAAAGTTATGGAATTAAATTGTAATATCCTGTATTTTGACCCTGTCAAATAAATTTTTTTAGAAGTCATTATAAGTTCAAATAACAAATAGTTTTTACCATAATATAGATATTATATTGATTTGATCACACTATTTTTTTTGTTTTTCATAATTTTTTAGTATTAGTGTAAATCCTTAAGAAAATTGATGCATGTTGATACAAGTGGGAGTTTTGGGACCGTCATGTATCCATTTTACAAATTGATTTTCTAAAAAAAATTTAAATAAAGTAGGTTATTTTATGGATATTTTCTATAAATTTTGAAGTCCCAAAAGGATTTATATAAATTTTATACTAAAAATTGATTAAATTATATAATTATATTAACATAATAATATTTATTATAAAAAATCTAAAAGCACTTACTATTTATTTCTTAAGCCATTAACCCCTTTCTCCGCTTGGCTTGATAGAAAGGAATTAGAGAAAATATAAGAAAGAGGAAAAGAAAACCTAAATTTTAAAGTCATAGAGCAATTTTTATTGGTCGGTCCTGTTTGGAGATTTTGCACAGGGTGATTTTAAAAAAAGCTATAATAATTATTTTGACGAGCTTTTCTTTAAATACTGTGATTTGGTGTTATCCTCTACTGATTCAGTGTTATCCTCTACTGATTTATGTCACTGATTAAGAGTTATAAAAAAATAATTATTATACTGAGAGGTAAAGAGTGACGACTCTATTTTCCAAGCCAACAATTTACTAATACTGATACGAGTGAAAAAACACTATTAATTTAGGATTTCTTACTTGTTTAGTATAATTACTGAAATATATGTGCTGACCTCATTTTTGTATGAGGTCGCTTGGAACAATCTTGTCCCTAAATCAATTCAATCTCCAAACCAATCTAAACTCTAGGATTCTCCTAGATCCAGACCTTAGGATCTGCCCAGATCTTATAAATCTAAACCAAAATTCAAGGCCAAAGGTCCAAGTCCTGAAAGCCTTTTTCAGCAAATTTTCAAACACTTCAAAACCTAATCAAATGACCTTCAATTCAGAGTCTGTCAGTTGCATACTGATGGGACATGTCTCTGGAGGCAACCCTCCCAATTTGAGCCCATTCTGAGGTCTCTAACCCTAGAAACTAAATCAAAATCCAAAGGCTGTAAAACCTTCAAATATTTATAGCCTATGCCACTGGACCTGTCACCTCGAAGATTATGACCTTAGAGCCTTCACCAAAGTCTCTAGTCACTTCCAGACCATTAATCTTGATATGTTGATCAATAAACTACATTTTTCTGGACCCATTTCAGCCCTAGTCGTCATGAGTCCAAAATGACCAAAATACCCCTATGGGGTTCAAATATTGAATTCCAACCAAATGAACTCTGAATTATTTGGAACCACTTCCAATAATTTTCAAATATCAAAACAAAACTTTTGAGCCTGGGCCCACCCCTTGGGTCAACCTGGTTAACCCAGTCAACGTAGGTTGACCTAATGGGCCCTTAAGAGTTTAAATGGGTTATTCCAACCCATTTAACTATTTTAAACCATTTAGACTCTTAAACATATTCCAATTCATGATTCAACTTCATTCAAATTTATGAGGGGTTAAATCACATTGGATTTGACTTGGTCAAACCACCAAGTGTGGTCAAACTTCTATGTTTTGGTCCTACCACCACACTTACCCCATCAAGCCTATCTCAAGCTTTCAATCCAATCACATGTTATGACTCAAATACATCCAAGCTCAATATGAGCTAGGTCATAGCTATGATTGTGTAGATCAAGTCAACCCACATTATTTTGGTCAAATCTACTCCAAACTCCCATACCAAACTCAAATCTCAATCCCTTCATTTGGCCTTTGCTCTAAATCAACCTGACTAGCTCTTGAGGTCATTTGGCTGCCACCTCAACAGTCAATATGGTCAGTTGAACAGTCAACACATGGTCAACAAACCCTTAAGTAGCCAAATCTCTTGGCCTAAGCTACTCCAACTCATTTAAACTCCCTATAACCCATCACTTCAGCTCTTGAACTTCTCCTCATGCCACATCAGCTGCCACATGGAAGGGAGACCAGTCAATTTGTCAAATCAAGGGATTAGAGTGGTCAAAACTAGTCAAAACACCACTTAAACTTAATCTACACTTCCCTAACCATCTCCAGCTGTAAGGACCTGTAATATAAAAATCTGCTCTAAGATCGTCCAGGACGATCTGGGATCGTCCTGAGACGATCTGGGATCATCCCGGGACGATCAGTTGAGAATTTGTTCCAGAATTTGCCCAGATTTGTTCCAGGTGTTTTCCTGTAGGCATCGTCCAGGCCGATCGAGGACATCGGCCAAGCCGATTGGCACTGTTCAAAATATCGGCCGGAAAATAGTT